GAATGAATTCATATGAGGACAGCAACATTGTAATAAAGCTAATTTATTAAAAGGTAAAGCAAGCCCAGCCAGCGTGGCTCAGTGGTTGAGAATTGACCTCTGAATGAGGAGGTCACAGTTCGATTCCCGGTCAGGGCACATGCCCAGGTGTGGGCTCGATCTCCAGTGTGGGGCGTCAGGAGGCAGTGGATCAATGATTCTCTCTCATCATTGGTATTTCTCTCTCTCTCTCTCTCTCTCTCTCCCTCTTCCTTCTTCTCTGAAATTAGTAAACATATGTGTGTTTTTTTAAAAAAAAAGGTAAAACAAGTATATTTATTAAAGAAGCAAGGTAAGCAAATTTACCAAAATACACCTATCCTATGAGCTGTAGATAGATTTTCCAACTAATTTAGGAAGCAAGTGCGGTGGGGGTTCAAGAGGTTATATCTTCTTCTATCTATAGGTTTTAAAATTCCTCTGCCAGATATCCTGCTATAGATGAAAAAGTTCCCCTTTTACTTAGTTATGGCTTTTCCAGAATTCATGAGAAGCACATGGCAATTTCATCTTGCCAAACCCTGAGACTGCTGGCTTCTCTGTTTAGGGAATGACATATAACTGCCCTTTTATTTATTTTTATTTTTCCCTTTCCCTCCCCACCCCTCCTTTCTTGCATTTTTTAGTTAGAAAGGCATTAACCATTTACTCTCAAGTGTCCTTGGTTTGGGGAAGGTAATAGCCTGTTATTTACAAGCTAGCCACAAGCTAGCCACTAGCTGTCCAAACTGTTTGACTTGGTTTAATTTTCTCGACTTAGTTTCTCTATTCCACTTGCTTAGGGATTTTCCTAGCATCTCACTCTCCTGTAACAACTTGAGGGAAATGGATCATTTACTTCCAGGCAAATTAGGGTAAGGGGAAATTTATTCAAGGCTTCTAGTCAGAGTATCCAGGCTCTTATTTTACTTCAGCATATCAGGTAAAACTCCCTCTTCCCCAGGTACGCTCCCACACAAACATACAAAAGTAGCAGAACTACATGAAGAGTCAACATCTCTATCATTCTTGTGAACTTTGCACCTTACAAGCCAACATCATGGCCAATTCTCAGGGAAGCTCATTTTTTCATGAAATGTTTGCTTATTTATGCCTTCTCTGGATGTCTGAGCCTTTCTCCTATCACTTGAATGGACCACCCTTTCCCACCAAAACCAGAGAAAGATCTAATGTTTTTCTCAGTGGTGTGGGACAATGTTTGTTTCCAATGCTGCAAAAGAAAAGCTGCTCATGCCATCCCATGTAAGGCAAGAGATCTTGGATTTAGGATTCACAATGACAAATTCCATTTTTTGGGTGAAGAGCAGCAAAAACACCTCTGACGTGCCCATGATTATCCAGCACTAGGAATTAAAAACAAAGAAACAGAAAACACCTATTAATGACTCAGTGAATTGTCCTGACAAACCAGGCTAAGACTGAGAAGCATTTGCAGATAGGCAGGCTGACAGCACTGTATTAAGGAAGAGTGTTCTGAAGAGGTGGGAGATGCTACTAAGAAAAAGAGAAAGTGTGACCCAGTTCAGTATCAAAACCCCAGCCAGTCAGGGGATCATATTTCTTAACTGTTCCCTAGTAGCAAAAACATGTGGAAGTGAATTTTGATATGGAGGCAGAAAAAATAGTCTAATAAAAAGACTAAAAAGACTACTAAGGAGTAGGGTACAATTGTCAAAACATTCCTTCATATAGAATTTTTTTGTCTTCCATCTAAAGTTGCATCAGACATAAAATCCATACTCTGAAGAAGACCCCAGGGAAGGCATTCTTCCCTGGTTTGACAGGGTTTGTTCTCACTTCAACATCACCTAAGAAAGTTCCTGAATTTTTATCATTACATACACTGGTAAGAAGGAAGAGAAGTGGAACAATAGGTTCCTGGCATATTATTTTAAATATTTCTTATTGAATAATTTGAAAGGAATAAAACTCTCTCTATTTTAACAACACTGATGCAAAGGAATGGGCAGTGTAAATTCATCAACAGCCTAAACATATGTCAGATATAAATCATAATACATATTTATTGAGAAATTAGCATTGACAGAGCAATATTATACAAGCAAGGGATATAGAAGTGTACAGAATCATGCAAAATCTCTCTATTTAGGAAATATACATTCTGGTGAGGGAAGGTGTTGGGCAATGATTTTATGAGATTCATAGTGTAGCAGTGGTCAGTGAGAAGAAAGTTTGGAAAAAGAACAACGAGTCATTCTCAGTTACGGGTCTGATATCATGAGGAGAGGTTGCCAGATAATAATGTTATTGCTACAAATGTATAATTTATAATTTGTGTACCTATATACAATTTAATGAAACTAAGTGTATTTAATTAAAACTGGGTAATTAACATTAAATCATCTTATATAATAAAAGGCTAATATGAAAATTGTCCCTCCGACCAGGAGTTAGACCAAGAATTCAACCGGGAGTTAGACTAGGGGGGTGGGGCTGGCCAGCCAACTACCTGCAGCCCCTCCCCCTGCCCTGCCAGATTGGCCCCAAATACAAATCCGAAGCCTAGATATTTAACATTTCAAAGGTGCATAATCCAACCAGACAGTAGCAAAGAAGTGAAGATACTGACCTTGTTATACTTACCATTTGCCCTACCTGTGTAAAGAACTTTATGTTACTTTATGTTTATTATAGCTATATGCCTCTCAAGTACACCCTTTGAAGCTAGGGATACATAACTTTAAGATTAAAACTAACAGAAGAAAAATTGCTTTCCCCAAACAAACTCATTATAGACAATGGAAAATCAATCCCAAAATGGATTGTACTTTATAGCTCAGCTTGCTGTGATAGTTACAGCATTGCTATTGATGTACAAACACACTGATTATAGTTGCTCATCATCTCTCTATGCCACCAGCAGTCTCCACCTTGTTTGTCACCTGAAAATGTCATATTTACTTATATAGGGCTAAGAAATTTGAGGCCATATTTCTCCCCTGAGTTATGTAATTAGTTATGATCATATTCACTTAATCCAGGGGGGAAAGAGGCACACTCAACTAGAACTATAAGTTTAATCACCTGGTTATTTAGTCAGTGAGGCAATCAGAGAGAACAATGCACGTGGTTCTCCTACAATGTGCAAAGACCTGCTAGCAATATCTGGAACATTTTGCATGTGGATTTTTCCTGGCTTACTCTCCAGTCCTTGGATTATTTTATGAATATGCAATCAAAATAAAATAAGCATCAAAGCCTTATTCTCAAGCATGAAGAGAAAATGATATGCACCTTTCATTCTTAGGAAAAACAAAGGACCAAGGGGTGCACCCTGGAAGCAAGTTGGTTTAGTTCTGCTGGAAATACTGAGAAATATTTACAGAAAACTCATATTTTGTTACAATTTTTGCTTCCATACTTTATTATTTTAAAATTACATATATCTTTGTTGATTTAAGAGAGGAAGGGAGAGGGAGAGATAGAAACATCAATGATGAGAGAGAATCATTGATTAGCTGCCTCCTGCATGCCCCTTACTGGGGATCAAGCCTGAAACCCGGGCATGTGCCCTATCTGGGAATCCAACCATGACCTCCTGGTTCATAGGTAGACTTTCAACCGATGAGCTACTCTGGCTGGGCCATACTTTATTCTTTTTAATAGATGAATAGTGGGAATGAGGAAGTAAAAAATAATATAAATTACAAAATATATACTTTGAGGCCAATGAACCATGATCTTCCTGGCTTTCTCTCCCTAAACACAGTTTAGGAATATAACTTTAAAACTTCCCAAGGAAGTCACACCCTCTAACCATTGAGATAAAATCTATTTATTACATCTTTAATTTTTAAATTAATAAATATAAAATTGAGTCCCTAGTGCTTTTTTAATTATCACATTTTAGATTGCCAAATCACAACCACTCTTCCATATTATGTCAAAAATGAATGTGTCCGTTGGCATGGTAACTGAGCTATGCAGAAGCTTGTCCAGAGAAACCTATCTCATCTCATCATATTTGCAAATTATAGATTAAGGCCTTTAGTTTTTGGGGAAAAGGAATAAAATAATTATAAAATACATTATATACTTATTATTTAGGTAATGCCTTTTGAATAATAGATATTGTTTAGGTAATGATTCTTTAGTTTTTAGTTGGTCACGTGCCATCCACCCACCCTCCCCCGCCTTCCCTCTGAGATCCGTAACAGAGATCAGAGATATAGAGGGATAGAACAGACTGTGGGAAGAATATGCTTTTAAAAGAAATATAGAATTAAATTTTCTGGAGCAAAGAAATATGTTTTTGACAATGGACCTTGATAGTGAGATTATATGACAATTGAAATATATTTGTGATACTTGCTAAAATGGACAATGAAAGTCAGATCCTCTGAGTACCTAAAGTATAAGGACTCAGAAAACATTTGCCAATCATTTATTGCTGGGTAATTGTCCATTCCACACTAGCTATACTCTCCAAATATTTTTGGTATGGCTAATTGATTTTATTTAAATCTTCATGTTTTTTTTTTCAATAAAAAATAACAATTTATTTGTACACTTTAAAAATTTTGCAAATCAGTGAAAAGATTATCAGACTATCAAGCAAAATTTTTAATGTGTAAATTTTATATCTAAAATAAAGAGATGTGATAAAATTTATTGCTCCAGGAGGTGACTTACAAAGAGCCAAAGGCCACTCAGAGGCAGTGACCTCACATCTGTTTGGAATTTGCCTCAATTCTTTTAAGTCTTTATTTTGAACATACATATTTATAAAACTAATAGAGACTGGCAAGTTTTAAGCTATCAGTCTCCAAAGGAAAACATAAAAAAAGAACATACGCACTTGGAAATTTGAATGAAATACTGCATCAAACTTTCAACGGATAATGCTACCACAGTGAATGGTATCTCTCTGGAGAAACTATGTTGGAACAGCACACTTGCAAATTATCTCCATAAGTACAATTATAAGAATGAAAACTTGGAAAGTATTTTCAGTTTTATTATAAAAATGCACACACAACAAAGATTGTCTTAAGTCATTTCTTGGTTCTACTTGCATTTAGTACTTGTTCTTGAGCAGCTTTCTTTGCTTTTACCATCTCGGCAAGTTCCTTATGTCGTTTCATGTAGTCCTTCTTTGTCCTGCCAGGCACTGCTTCTGCTATTTTTTCCCATCTTTCAGGTGTATTTACTGGGTATGTTTTCAAGGCTTGTTCCAAAAGTTTCTGCTCTTCTGTTGTCCAAGGGGTGAAATCTGTGCATGGACCTTCAAATCGTTCTGAAGGTGTTGCATTGTCTGCTTGAGGCACTACTCCATGTTCTTCTTTAAATTTATTAAAAGCCTTTTTGTTTATTGCTGGTGTCCAACCCCAGCAGGTCCAGGGATCCCCAAAGGTGTGGACGGAGTCGGCGAAGAAGGAATGACACAGGGACAGCGTTCAGTTGATCAGCAGCCTATCCAGGATCTCCAGCCAAGTTCTGGTCTGGATCTCCAGCGAAGTTCTGGTTAGGATCTCCAGCTAGGTTCTGTGTCCATGTTCTCTTGCTAGGTTCTCCAGGTTCTCCAGCCAGGTTCTGTAGCCATGTTCCCTAGCTAGGTTCTCCAGCCAGGTTCTGTCCAGGTTCTCCAGCCAGGTTCAGTCACCAGGTTCTAATCAGGTTCTCTTGCCAATTTCTGTAGTCAGGTTCAGTCCAGGATCTTTTGCCATGTTCTCTCCAGTGAAGTTCTTCTTTCTCTAGGTTCTGTGTAGGTTCTGTCTTCTAAGTTCTGTCTTCTAAGTTCTGTGTCTTGCTGTCTTGTTACATCTGTATTTATACCAGTTGATTCCAATCCTAACAATCTCTATTCCAAAGGTTAGGGCGTTTCTTATCTCCATTCCAGGGAGTAAAGATTATGTAGCTTAAGCATGATTGTTCATAGTTAAAGTGATTAATTACCCGCCTGGCACTTAGTTGAGGGGTTTTATTCCCTCCCTAACTTCAGGGGAAAATCCCTACCGGGGGAAACAACCTTTCTCAGAGACCTTGGTTAAAACACATAGTGCCAAGAAGGTGAGCAAACATATTAAGAACAGTATGCCATATATGCCAGGTCCCTTGAAACAGCAAGCATGGACCGGCTCCTGGCAAATTCCCCCTTTTTTATTTTTTAAAAGCAGGCATTAAAAAGAAAAACCTGAAATGCTCTCTTGTATCCATTTTAAGAATAGGATTGGCGCTTTCCGCTATTACCTGAGTCCTGATCTATCACCCCAGGGAGAGCTTGCCAATCCTGCACTTTCCCTAGGTAGAAAGGCTGCAGTGGGGTTAAGGATAGGCTCCTTGGGCCTACCTTCTCCCATGCCTTTACATTTACCTTTCCGGCACCTTTCCTTCCTCAGAAAAGCATGGACATACTTCTTGTATAAAACATTCCATCTGACTGGGCGTAACCTTAACTCCTCTGCTAGCAAGCATATGTGTTAAAAGATAAATACGGAGTCTTTTTTCTTTAGACTCAGTATGGCACATCTTCTTAATCTAAAGATCAATACAGAGTCTTCTTTCTTTGGACTCAGTATGGCACATCTTCTCAATCTAAGTTCTGTACTATCCACCTTCTTACCCTACTTATCCTCTATAGGGGGGTCTGCAGTACCCTGGTGGAGTCCTATCAGTCCCGAGTGTGGGGGTTCTCAATGGGGGTGGGGGGCTTACCCAGGGGAATCCTGTTCCAGGGGTTCCCAAAGGTGTGGACGGAGTCGGCGAAGACTATCCACCCTCTTCCTATGGTGGAGTCCGATCCGTCCTGATTGTGGGGCAAAGACTATCCACCCTCTTCCTACGGTGGAGTCCTATCCATCCCGAGTGCGGGGCGCTTACCTAGGGGTCCCTGTTCAGGTGCCAGATGCTGGGGTCCAGCCCCAGCAGGTCCAAGGGTCCCCAAAGGTGTGGACGGAGTCGGCAAAGAAGGAATGACAAGGAGACAGCGTTCAGTTGATCAGCAGCCTAGCCAGGATCTCTAGCCAGGATCTCCAGCCAAGTTCTGGTCTGGATCTCCAGCGAAGTTCTGGTTCAGGATCTCCAGCCAGGTTCTGTGTCCAGTTGTCTTGCTAGGTTCTCCAGGTTCTCCAGTCAGGTTCTGTAGCCATGTTCCATCGCTAGGTTTTCCAGCCAGGTTCTGTCCAGGTTCTCCAGCCAGGTTCAGTCACCAGGTTCTAGTCAGGTTCTCTTGGCATGTTCTATCCAGGTTCTGTAGCCAGGTTCTCTCGCTAGATTCTGTCTCTAGGTTCTGTTGCCAGTTTCTGTCCAGGATCTTTTGCCATGTTCTCTCCAGCGAAGTTCTTCTGTCTCTAGGTTCTTTGTAGGTTCTGTGTTCTAAGTTCTGTGTTCTAAGTTCTGTGTTCTAAGTTCTGTCTTCTAAGTTCTGTGTTGTTACATCTGTATTTATACCAGTTGATTCCAATCCTATCAATCTCTATTCCAAAGGTTAGGGCGTTTCTTATCTCCATTCCAGGGAGTAAAGATTATGTAGCTTAAGCATGATTGTTCATAGTTAAAGTGATTAATTACCCGCCTGGCACTTAGTTAAGAGGTTTTATTCCCTCCCTAACTTCAGGGGAAAATCCCTACCTGGGGAAACAACCTTTCTCAGAGAGGAGACCTTGGTTAAAACACATAGTGCCAAGAAGGTGAGCAAACATAATAAGAACAGTATGCCATATATGCCAGGTCCCTTGAAAGAGCAAGGATGGACCGGCTCCGGGCAGTTTATGTCATCTTTTTGATGAGGGTCAAGTTTTTGAAGGCTTTTTGCTTTGCTGATAACATCTTTGGCGGTTCTCTTGACTCCAGAAGAAGAATGTATGTTCATGTAATTAGCAATAACTTCCCATCTTGAATTTGTTCCAGCAGGAAAGAGGTTCACAGCTTTAATTAGTAACTGCAGACCATCCTCTGACCAGTTTTTACTGCCATTTCCACCTCCACCAGCTGACTTCTCTGCATTCGTAGCTGCTTGTCGCATACGAGCCTCAGCTTCCTCTTTCTCCTTTCTGATTTGCTCATTTATTTCTTCTGTTTTTCCTGAGCAGCCTTTCCTACTTCTTTTGTAGATGATGTGAGTGTTTCATTCAAGCACTATAAACTTGCTAATTCAGGCAATCACAAAGTCTGTAAGTAAGAACTGCATTCTTTACCAAAACTTTTCATGTAAAAGGAACTTTTCAAAACATCTACACTAATAAAAGGGTAATATGCTAATTAGACCAGGTTGACCAGACATCTTCCAGTTGTACAGTCCATCTTCCGGACAAAGCCACAGTGGTAGAGGCCAAGGCAGAGGCGGTTAGGGGCAATCAGGCCAGCAGGGGAGGGCAGTTAGGGGTGATCAGGCTGTCAGAGGAGGGCGGTTAGGGATGCTTAGGCAGGCAGGCAGAGGGGTTAGGGGCGATCAGGCAGGTGAGTGGTTAGGAGACAGAGGTCCCGGATTGTGAGAAGGATGTCTGACTGCTGGTTTAGGCCTGATCCCTGTGGGCATCCCCCGAGGGGTCAGACATCTGCTAAGGGGTCCCAGATTGGAGAGGATGCAGGCCAGGCTGAGGGACCGGCCCCCCATGCATGAATTTTGTGCACCGGGCCTCTAGTACATACATACTATAATTGGATATAATTTATTAATCCTGATCAACATTTTGCAGTTTCTGAAATTTGCAACAAACAATTCCAAGTGCTAGTGCTACAAAAATTAAATATATACAGATAGATATATACATATGTCAATATATGTCTATATAGCTATATATTTATATTCTTATATTTAGGAGACATCATTTAATTGGAATAGATTTATAAACATAATTTAAATAGAATATGTAGGACTCCAAAGAGTGGATATCCAAAGATGCAGGTTAACTATCTTACAAACACACATATACACATTTTCCCTCAAACACACACACACACACACATTAATTCATTCATCTTTCATTAATTAATTCATTCAATAATACATTCATTAAATGTTTGAGTAATATTCTCAGGTTAACTTTTAAATAGTATTAAAATTTCTACCTCTTAAGTTGCAATAAATAAATCTAAAAAAGTCTTAGTGAAGATTCATATTTCAGTTTTAAAGGGAGGAAATCAAGTTGCAGAGACTTACCTGAGAGTAAGTTATCTGTTCTGGGAATAATTCCTATACTCATTTCAGATAGATCATAGCACCAACTTCTATTAGACATCTTTGAGAATCTATCCTATGTCTTGGGTAGGTTGTACATGTCTTTTAAATCACTAACAGCAATGCCTTAGGATCCCCAGAAGGGACTACCCATTTTTTTCTTATAATCAGTTTGAGCAATGGCTTCAGCAATGACTATAGATTTCGGGGTCAACCGGACCCAATAATTTCTTTCCTATTGTCATTATAATTGAAAATCCAAATCCATATGCCCGAAGGCAATAGAGGTGATCTCATTAGCACACTAATGTTGGAAGTGTCTGCATCAGTTGAGCCGAGGTTGTTTTCCTGGGATCACTAATCCATGTGAGTCACAGCTCGCCTCCAGTAGAGATTGAGTTCACAACCAGCTTTCCTTCATAGGGATTGTTGCAGCTCATAGCCTGTAAAATCTATTTAACTGTTATTTAATCTAAATATAAGGATGGAGGAAACAGTTTAAAGCATTTTTCCTCTAGCAAAACCATAAAGGACAAAGCATTTCCTGTACTTACTTTGACTTTATTAAGGACTCTCCCATGTGCTTGTAATGATAGAAATGATACTTCTCATGGCATTTATGTTTTGAACAATATGAGGTGAATACAAATTTAGAACTAAATTTCTCAGAAACACCCTTTCTTAGAAGTACACATTGCAATTTCCGCCCTCCCCCTCATGTTGAGGGTGTACTGTTATCAATGTAAAAGAACAGTGTAGAAAATTGCAATGGACTAGAAGAGATTTATAGGATGAGCTCACTTTAAAAGGAGTCAGGTTTATGAGTTTTCTTGAGATGGAGTGCTTTCCTTATTTACTCAGAGGGACAAAAACAATTGCAGGCTCCATGATACTAGACCAGAATCACCAATGGGAAAACAGTAACTGTAGTAAAGACACACTTTGCTGCATCAAATAAAATTTCCATATATGATGAAAAAATTATGTCTTAAGAAATGAAAGTAGAGGCTCCAAGGGATTCAGAAATAAATACACTAGAAACTGAATACTATATTATACATAAGTTTAATTAGCTGTTGTTCAAGAAAATTTGGTATCTTGCAATAGCAGTTTTATTAAAACACATTAAAATGAAATTATGTTTTAAACATGAAATATAATAACAACTGCTATATGTGAATGCATTGCAAAATGACACATCTTATTGGCCAAGGCCTAATATATGACCTTTTTTATTCATATGAAAAATGAAATATATGCATTCATTTATTCATAAAATAACAATACACACACATATATGTATATATATACACCTATACATACATGTATATGTATATATAGATATATATATATATATATATATAGAGAGAGAGAGAGAGAGAGAGAGAGAGAGAGCTATCTTTCATACATATTTTCAAAACCTTTATGAAAGTCAGTTGTGGCCTACAAGAAAGATATGTACTGTTAACATTATTGTATATACAAGTTAGGGGAACAGATGCTTTATAGTAGCTTTTAAAACTAAATTCTAGTTCTAAGATCTACCACTTACTGGCTCTCTGAGACCATTGTTCATTCATTTACTCTAGGGGAATTATGTTCCTTAGCCACTGAAAAATAGTCGAGTAACAGCTGCCTTATCTGAAAATATAGCGATGTTGGTACCTGGAAAAAGAAAAGTTCTATAAAAATTCAGCTACTATGTTGATCAAAAGTACTCTGTATTTGTTCAAATACACTTATAATTAAAATTAGATTATGTATTGCCTAATTCCACACACCCCCATAATACAGATGAAGGAACCATACATAAAATGTCATTCCCTTCTCTAAATTTATTTTGTAAAATCAATTAAATAAATTGAAAACACTCCAAGATTTCTTACAGACATGGAAAATGAAGTTGAGACTACTGATAATCATTCAGGTGGTTCATATTAAAATATAACTTCTGAATTCCTTAAAGAACTATGAAATCAATGGATTTTTAACTAGTAGTTATCTATTACTTCCTGTTTCCCTAATCCGTTTTTACATATTGTTATAGGTATGGAAATATATGGATGTAGAAACATGATTTTCAAAATTTATGGTGGGGAATTTATTTTAATCTTGCATAAGCCATCAATCACCATTTGTTTCCAATCTTCTAAATGTCTGTTGATTCTGATAGCTAACATAAATAACCCTTCTTCAAATTCATTGTAATTCTCTGCTGGCCCAAGGTTCTCTTATGTGAACTGCTTCAAAACTTCTAACTGGATTTCCAAACTCTGGACCAGCTCTCTTCTTATTCATCCTCAGAGTATGTGTAAGATGTCATTATTTAGAAAGTGCTCTTAAACAACAATAATTTAAAAAATACGTGTACCTTTAATTTCACTATCTTACTTCAAAAAAATTCCAAAATAGCTACTTACCTAACCAGTGGCAGTGCTTGCATATTTCTGTGTTCCACATACTTCACTGTATCAAGTATTATAGCCTGTCTAATATTTGATTTAATGAATGTACAATGAAGTTTTATAATCTATACTAGTAGCCCGGTGCACAAAATTCATGCACATTGAAAGGGAATTAATTAGAGGAATGTAATTTGGACTCACTATCTAATATCAATAATATGTGAGCATGAGGCAGTCTGCGTTTCTGAAATTCAATGACATGAATTTTAGCTATTACTTTGCTAAATAAATGGAATTTACAGATATCATTTAAAAGAGCATTCAGCTTAATATTAAAAACTCTGGCTACCAAGTCAGGTCTGTTTTCAACTTTTTGCCAGCGTTGTAAATTGTTTGCAATGTCTGCCCATTTGGAGTTGCACATCATGGTTATGAATAAATCAGGCTTACCATACTTCGTTACAATTGCCATAGCATCCTGATATCACTACTGCATATTTCTGGGACTACCCTCAGCAGATGATGGAAGTATTATCATTTTACCAATCGGCACATTGTCATTTTCAGATATAGATTTGAGATAATCCATCAAACCACTATATTTTTCAACTCTCAACTTAGATTGGTCTGCTTTGATGAAATTTATCCAATTGGTCTCCATTTTTTAATATGAATCCATGATAAACTGTTAATTTTCCTGTATTTAAAATAGGATTAAACATGTCCCACACAGAGATGAAATCCATATTACTGCTTTTGTGTGACTTGTGTCCTTACATTTTGTTTGTATTATTGTTGATTACACTGTTGTCTCTGAGTCTTAATGCAATATCTGGTCCCCAGCCTTTTTCACCGTGTGGAAAAAGAATAGGATATGTCATTGCATCTAATGTAGGAAACAGGATATTGATTTGTTTCATTTTAGTGGCATTTGGATTACTGGGATCTGGTTTACAATGAATGACCAAGTCCCTTTCAAAAGGAGGTTCTCCATCTTCATTTCTGAATATGACAGCAACCTTGGTTACATGGGGAGAATTGTATCTATCTGGATCACTGTTACTATTGTATTTAACCGCCATTGTTACTTCTGTGGGAGCAATATCTTTTGCTGCTGCTTCAGATTGGGCTTCCTTTTCTACCTCATTTAGCATCTTGTACGATTTTGTTAATTCACTTATTTCATGCATGAGGTTGTTGATGTTGATCATGAGTCTTTCTAAGCATCCCTGGTTTTCTGGAATTGCTAATCTTTTACTTGTAGCTCTGGCTGTATCCAAAATAGAGAGTTGAGCAAACTTCTGAGAAACACCATCGGAAGGATTAAAGTTCCAGTACGGTGGTAAACTCGTCCTTGTATTCTAAAACAGTATGGCCCATATCCTGACGGCGATGCAATATTAGCACCCATGGAAGCAAAAGCAAAAGAACTATTATAGAACAAATATTTTCCATGAAATTTTTACTGTCAGAATCTTCATTTGCCATTAGTCTTTTTAAATTTGCCAGATAATCTGGAAAATGTATATCATTTGGACAGACTTTCTCTTTGCTACGTCAAGTAAATTTCCCATCAGATGATTTTTTCATCAGAGAAATTTAGTGATGGCAAAATTCATATCGAACAGTCATTCCACCACAACTATGTTCAAGAATTGCATCCTCATGTACTCCAATCTCGCTGAAAAGGCAGTTCCTACCAGTATTGGTAGTACTTGTTGATGACTGTTCTCTAGACATATTCTGTCATTGCCACTGCCTTCTTTCAACTTCAAAGGCACATTGGTCTTTAGACATTTTTTGTCGATAACGCTGGTGTTTTTCAGCATCAGAGTGATATTTTTCCAATAGCTGGTCTTCAGATACATTCTGTCACAAACGTTGCCTTCTTTCAAGATCAGACACATGCTGCTCTGCAGACATTTTCTGTTGATAATGCCGGCATCTTTCTGCTGCAGAGCTATGTTGTATCAACAGTTGTTCTTTAGACATAGTCCCACCTCTCTACTGTCATGGTCTGAGATACAGGTGGATGAGATTCCTGGTTATCAGGCTGCTCAGAGCTGTCTGACCAAAGGCTGATTCTGGCTGATTCTGTGAGGGTGGGAGTTCCTCCTCCCTGCTGTCAGTTTCCACAGCTGTGAAGAGGAAGCTAGGGTGACAGAGGAAGCCACACCCTCCCAGCTGCCCTCTCTCTCGATCTGCTCTCTGTCCAGTGGTCTTGTGCTCTGCCAAGTCCTCCAAACCTTCTGCTCTCTGCCTGCTCCTCTCCCGCCCTGCTCTCCACCCTCAAGGTCCTGGGAGCCCACGGCCACGGCTGCCGTCGCCTCCTGGGACGCTTGACACCAGCATATGCAAATTAACAGCCATCTTTGTCAGGTTAATTTGCATAGTCACTCTGTTTGGCTGGTGGGCGTGGTTTGAGCATAGCGGAGGGATGGTTAATTTGCATGTTTCTCTTTCATTATATAGGATATCATTTTGTTTTGGGGCCGTCACATCCAAAACAACCAAACGAATGACCAAACAGGATGAGTGGGGCAATCAGGCCTGAGAAAGTTAGTGAGGGATGACAAAACGACTGAGCAGCAGGCTGAGTGGGGCCACCAGGCTGGCAGGGGGAGCAGTGAGGAGTGACCAGGCCAGCAGCGGGGGGCTGTTGGGGGTGACCAGGCAGGCAGAGGGGGCTGTGAGGGGTGACCAGGCCATCAGCGGGGGGAAGTTGGGGGTGACCATGCTGGCGAGGGGGGCAGTTAGGGCTGACTAAGCCAATGGGGGGGCCGTTGGGAGCAACCAGGTTGGCAGGTGGGCCAATTAGGGGTGATCAGGCAAGCAGGCAGGTGAGCAGTTAAGAGCCAGCAGTCCTGGATTGAGAGTGGGATGTTCGATTGCTGATTTAGGATCAGGCCTAAACTGGCAGCCAGTCATCCCCTAAAGGGTCCAGGATTGGAGAGGGTGCAGGTTGAGCTGAGGGGACACACCCCCATGCACGAATTTCATGCACTGGGTCTCTAGTTTTAAAATAAGGTGCCTAATTAGTAGAAATATAAAGAATTCCAATTTGGGAAGAAAATATATATTTTTAAAAAAATTTAAATCATCTAAAAAGAATGCATGTTTAATAAAAATTTCCACTAAGGACTTGAGGAAAATAATTCTGGTCCTTTAAAAACATGAGTACTTTTCCAGCTTCAGGTACAAAATCCTTGATTTGTATCCTGTGTGCCAGTTACATGAATTGGTCCTTCAACACACAGGCTTGCCTTGAATCATATTCTTTGCAGGAACGGCATTTTTCTTGTCACTACCTAGTGAAATTCAACTTTATTGTAACATTTCCTTCAGGGTTTTCACTAAGTCTCTTTCTGAGACAAATGTTATAGTTCTGTATCTGATATTGAACTGCACCTTATTCACAACTAGTTATTACGTCATTCATGACCCTAAGATACCAGAGATTCACACTATTTCCATTTTCAATTTGTTTTTTAGTAAATCAGGAACTATGTGTTAACATAATCATCTGTGTATTCTTAACCCTTAGCACAATGCCAAGTATAGCAAATACTTACTTGGTTCTTATTTTAATGGATTGTTTTTTGCATCAATATTTGTTAATAAATCAATATGCAGTTAGGCAAAAGAAGCTCTGGTTAAACTGATAAAATATGCTTAGTTTTCAGTAGCTGCAGATTTACTTAAAATTAGTAAGAATTAAAGTATTTCATGTGTAGTGTTACTATAACAAAAAAATTAAAGAAGACTAGCAAGGCTACTTTATTAAAATGTATTGACTACTTATGTATTAGCAAATAGTATAATTGTTCACAGAGGAATGCTTATATTGATATATCTCTGTCTTACATATAAATACATATTATAATATTTCATCAAATTTAAGGCACAATTAACTCTAGGAAGATCCATAACTGATATATTACTAAGAATTGGAAAAATAAATAGATGCAATGCTTTTTAATTGCTTATAATTTTATTTTATTCTTATCAAACTAGTGGCCCAGTGCATGAAATTCATGCATAGGGGAGCAGGTTACTCTCAGCCCAACCTGCACCCTGTCCAATCGGGATTGGGCCTAAACCAGCAGTTGGACATCCCTCTCGCAATCTGGGACTACTTGCTCCTAACTGTTCACCTGCCTGCTGGCCTGATCCCCTTAACCCTGCCGGCCTGCTTGCCCCTAACCACCTCTGCCTTGGCCCTGCCACCACGGTTTTGTCTGAAAGGATGTCCGGAAAGTCGTCTGGAAGTTGTTCGGTCTAATTAGCATATTACCCTTTTATTAGTATAGATTGATTTCAGAGAGGGAGGGAGATAGAAACATCAATGATGAGAGAGAATCATTGATTGGCTGCCTCCTGCATGCCCCACACTGGGGTTCCAGCCCACAATCCAGGCATGTGCCCTGATCGGGAATTGAACTCTGGGCCCTTCAGTCCTCAGGCGGAGGCTCTATCCACTGAGCAACACCAGCCAGGGCTACACTTTCCCTTTCCACTGGGACGTATTCTGTCTGCTGGAGCTAAAACACTGAAGCTGTCTTACTGGGGCAGAGTGGGGTGCACTGGGCAGCTCAGGGCAGAGTGGGTGCACTGGGTTGGAGCATATGGAGCCCCCTGAAAGCTGGAGAGGGGCCTCGTTTAACAGCTGCACTGTTTCATGGCTGTGCTGCCTCGCAGTTGAGCAGCCACACTGTTGGGCTGTGCCACAGTCAACGGGAGTTTACACAACTGAACTGTCTGCATGGATAGCTTCCTCCTCACCACACCCCCAAGCTTGGGGTTCCTCTTAGGGTTGAAGTGACTCTGACCACCCTTGGTTGGTAGCCCAATCGGCCACTTTGGAAAGAGAAGTGTGGAGTCCTGATTTTACGTGAACGCTCCAATTTGTTAAATTGGAAACTACTGAAAACTTCAGATGTTTGGGCCAAACCAGAGAGGCAGTCAGGTCTGGCGTCCAGGCCACTGGGCAGCACTGGGCTCAGCCCAGCTGTAAAGAGACCCTAGGCGTCTGGGCAGGTGAAGGGGTTCAGGGCATGCTTGGGTAATTCCAATGTCATCCCACTTGGTTTTGTTGTTTTTTTTTTTTTTTTTTTTTCCCCATTGATCACAATTTATTATAATCTGTTGGCAGCATAGAGAGATATTAGTTACCAGAACTATGTCTTCATAGAAGTGGACAGTATGTGGCCATTCTATGGGGAACTGTGTGCACTTAATCAACAACATGATCTTTCAGTTTTTTTTTTGTTGCTGTTGTCAATGAAAATAGGCTTTATTACATCAAGTAATAAATACATACAAAGATACAAACACTATTAGTCACTTTCTTCCAGATGCTTGGATGCACTGATGGGAAAGGCGGAACTGAAATCTACATACATCCTTAGGGGAAATTTCAGGGGTCCTTGTCGGGTGAGGTTCGATAAGTTGCTCTTTCTTCTGTATTTATAACTTGCGCATTTTAAAGATCAACTTCAAAGTACTAATAGTCATGCAAATGCTTAAGCAAAAAAAAAAAAAAAAAGTTACATTGAGCAGAATTTCTACTGTGTGGCAAACAGGCACTGACTACTAAAGCACTGCCTCGGGACTTGCTGAAACAAACCCTCAGAGTTGGATCAGCTCAGAAGAGAAACAAAGAACATTGTGAGTAACAGAAATGTATCCAGAAGAGAAACACGGTATCTGGGAGGCCAACTACAGTTTTCTGTGATAGGTAACTGACATGCAACATGTAAATCAGGGGTCCTCAAACTTTTTAAACAGGGGGCCAGTTCACTGCCCCTCAGACCTTTGGAGGGCCGGACTATAGTTTAAAAAAAAAACACACTATGAACAAATTGCTATGCACACTGCATATATCTTATTTTGAAGTAAAAAAACAACGGGAACAAATACAATATTTGTATTTGAATGTGGCCCGCGGGCTGTAGTTTGAGGACCCCTGATAAATCAATGCTTTAAAAAAAAAACACAAAGCGCCCTGGGTAGTTCCTAACTAATATGTAAACCTAATGACTGCAAAAATCTCTTCTCCATCTCAGCGACGGGATGTTTGGAGCCTGAGGAGCCCCGGGAGGGGCACGGGGAGGAGAAACCAAGCTGTTACCATTTTCAAACCAAGTTTCATCTGAAGGGGGCATGGGGGGGGGGGGGGAAGCATGAGCTGTCGCTTCTTGAAAGAGTATGGAAAGCCTTTCACGTTGACTCGGAGGCTAGGACCTGCTGTTCTGCTCCATTTGGGCCAAGCACTCCTGAACCAGCCCTCTCACATGAATGTTGCCTCATTTCTCCATCAAGCTCTTGCTGCCCACATAGTGGGGATCGGATCTCCTTCCCCAGCTCTTCGATGATGGCCAGCAGCTCAGCGTATTTGCTCTGGAGCACCTGGCTGTTCCCTGTTCCCTGCGTGTAGCCTAGAGATGGTGGTCCATAGTCACTCAGCAGCTGGCGGTACTGGGAGGACGTTGCCATGCTGGTGGAAGGCAGTATTGAGGGAGGCAGCGGGCATGTGTGCAGTCAGGTTCGGTTTGTAAGAGATCGCCCCCTGGCGGCGGGGCACAGGCCCCAGGAGGCAACGGAGAGCGCGAGGCAGGCCTGGAGTCTGAGCTCCCGAGCACTTTTGGTTGTTGACAGCTCAGGCCACACAGGCAAATCTGGCTGCCCCTAACCCTGACACCACCGCAGTATCATGATCTTTCAGTGTCTTGATGTTCTGCTGGGGCTGCTCAATTTCTTTCTGCAGACACTCAATCTCCTTTTTATGATGAGTGATCTCTTCTTCATGTTGTTTCTTCAAGGCTGCCAGCTGTTCTTTACTCCACTCTCGGAAGTATCGTTCCTCTTCAGCCTTCTCATTTTTTTGCGAACGTCCCACCGGCTTCCCTGATCGCGCCGCCTGGGAGCTGAAATTTGCCAACCATTTGCAGCCAAAGCCTCCGGCTTCCATGGCCCTCACTCCCCACACTGAGCTGCAGCCGTGCCACCAATGCGGACACTGCCATGGTTCTCAGTGCCCCGCAGCTCCGGACCACCCCACTTGGTTTTAAACGCAAACCCGCCTTGGACAGGCCTTGAAGGTTTTTCTCCTTCTGTCTGCTCATGTTCAAGTGCCAGCAGCGCTGGTCCTGGTTCGTTGGTGCCTGGTCTGTCCTCTTGAGATTGACCCCGCAGGACTACTGAGGGAGCCAGTCGGCAGTTCCACCCTCCCCCGATGCTGCCTGCACAACCTCCTCCTGATCGGTTGTGGCCCGTTATGGCATCCCAGCCTAATTTGCACATTTCTCTATTTGATATATAGATATATAGATATAGATACAGATAGATAAGCTATGCTGTATTTACTTAAATGCAGATTTTCTCTTATATCACTTGAATACAAACATAAAAACAAGACAACACAAGCATAATAAATTGAATAAGATATTTCCAAAATCTTTTCACATTTAGAGTCAAATGCTTCTGGAATCCTTTACTACTCAGAGTTATTGATGTATTTTCCCCCCCACATAATACTGTACCATCAAAACATTAGTGTTACAACATTTTAAGGAATCCATAAAGAACTAGTAGCCATTGATTCTAAGTTCTTTCCTCATTTGCACTGATAAGCAAGATAACTTGATTTCTGCTTTAGGAATATTTCTAAACACATTTCTAAATCACCACTTCCAACCCTTTCTATTCATACTATTTTTTCCTTATTGTCTTTAAGATTTTGCTCAAAACCACTAACATTTATTCTCTAAGTCTTGATGCTAGCTGCTATGAGAATGTGTGCAATAACTGGTAATTATTTCATGACTTATGCATGAGACAAAAAAAAATTCAAGTATGCCATTGACTGGTGCATCTGTTTGTGATCTTAAAGTATGAAAAAAAAGGCATGTGACACAGGATCAGAGAAATGTAATATAATATCTTCTGACTCAGTCTGCAAGATTTTACTATCAGAGATATACATATATCAAATCATCATGTTATATATACATTTTAAGATCTTAAATTTTATTTGTCAATTATAGCTCAAGAAGCTGAAAATAATTTTCAGAATTTTATATTTGACATTGGATTAACTATCTTTTAAAAATTTCTTTCTTGCTGAAACTGGTTTGGCTCAGTGGATAGAGAGTCGGCCTGCGGACTGAAAGGTCCCAGGTTCGATTCTGGTCAAGGGCATGTACCTGGGTTGCGCACATCCCCAGTTGGGGGTGTGCAGGAGGCAGCTGATCGATGTTTCTCTCTCATCAATGTTTCTAACTCTCTCTCTCTCTCTCTCTCTCTCTCCCTTTCTCTCTGTAAGAAATCAATAAAAATATATTTAAAAAAAATTTCTTTCTTTTTTATTTTTAAACAACTGAAAGGCATTAATCACATATACAAATTTCACTTCTTGTAACAAAAGCTAACCGTGTTCTTTCTTCCAAAAGCTAACCATGAAACATTCTTTTTTAAAATTATCATTTAGTTCAGAAATTGCAACAGAAAGATTAAACATTTTGCAAGTTAGGAATTGTTCCTTACTTTAAAAGGAAAAATAAATCTATTTCACCAAGAGAGGTTGTCTCCTTAATTGAAAAATATATAATTTCTAATGGTAATCTTTCTTATAAAAATTGTTAGAACCAAAGATGTACCTTTATGGGACCTACCAGATGACATCCCTAAGAATTAGTCAAAATCAGAGCACTCAGAGTAAAGTGCCATGCATTCCCTAAAGTAAGCCATGCATTTGCAGATATCTGTTTACGACATTCAGGGCTTCAAGGTCAATCAATGCACTGACTATGAAAACTGATTTATAGTCTAAAATAGTACTCTAATATTCGTGATTAAAAACTGTTGTTATTCTTTTCGTTGGCCACTTTGGAACTTTTTCATTATTAAAACTCTGTTAACTGTCCAGATGGGATAAATCTTTAAGAAAAGAGTAGCTCATTTGCAAGCGACCTTTCTGGCCAATTGACAGAGTCCTGTAGATGGTGTCATTACAAAGATTTATTTTTTGGGGGATAGGCATGTAGAGGGTGGCTTGCTGCTTTTACAGAATTTTTCCAAGGTGAAGAAAATTTTATGAAAATCAACTAATTTTGTTGTTTTCATCTCCTTTCCATCTCTTCTGACATCGAATATCTATCATAATCCCCTTAAAGACCTCCCATTTCTCATTTCTGCCCTACACTCCTTTCTTCCCCTTTCCTCATTTTCCTCCCTCTTTCCCTCTCTTCGTCCTTCCCTGTCTCTCATCCTTCCTCCATTCCTCCCTCCCTCCTTTTCTCCCTTCTTTCTTTTCTTCCTTCCTTCTTTCCTTCCTTTCTTTCTTCCTTCTTTTTCTTTTTAATGAACACATTTTTCCCCTCAAAATAATTAATATAGTGCCCATTAGTACCTTAAATAGAGAGGTGGAAAAAAAAATAGAACACTTTGAGAAAAATGAGCTCTGGTTGATTTCATTTAAATATTAGCCTGCAACATCTGCTGTGGTATTACAGAAGCCAGAAAGACTTTGAAATAATTTTTAAAATAAGGAAATTTACGGAAATAGACAAAACTTGACATTTTACTTGTGTTCTTTATTCTTAGAAGAAAAAAATACATCCATGGACCTAGGAAAATTGCGTTTGGGGATAGAAAGTATTATAAATAAAAGGGAGAAAAAGCTCAAGTGAGATAGAGGTGTACTCTCCTTTTTGTTTACTATTATGTGACTTTGGGGTTATTTTCTAAAATAGGAATGAACAAGTTGTGAAGAGTTTATATAAAAAACTTGCTTACATTCATACCATTAACTGTAATAGAACTTCATTTTTAAAAAGGGAAATTTTTTTAAAGTTCAAATCAAGGGAGAAAAATGGCCACAAAGTGTCAAACAGTTTGTCTTTTACTTGCTAAAAACATGTTTTTTTATAATACCAACTAGAGGCCTGGTGCACCAATTCATGCACCAGTGGGGTCCCTCAGCCTGGCCTGCAGGATTGGGCTGAAACCGGCTCTCCAACATCCTGTGAGGGGTCCTGGATTTCAAGAAGGAGCAGGCCAGGGCAATGGGCAGCTGGGGAGGGACAAGAGGAAGGCTGCAGGGTCTGCCCAGCCTATCTTGCTCAGTCCAGATCAGCCGGACCCCACAGCAAGCTAACCTACCAGTCAGAGCAGACACTCCCTGGTGGTCAGTGCACATCATAGTGACTGGTTGACCAGTCGACTGTCTGCCCCCTGGTGGTCAGTGCACGTCATAGCGAGCGGTTGAGTGGCCTTAGCATATTACACTTTGATTGGTTGAACGGCCAACTGGTCAACCAAACACTTAGCATGTTAGGCTTTTATTATATAGGATTGTACTTTTAATCCACAATGACCTCCTCTTTCTAAAGACTCTCTTGCAGTTCTAAAGTTTTATGATTTTGAACTATTTTTTTAAGATTTGACAGTGATATGTTTTATTGTATTTTATTTTTAATATGTTTTTAATAATTTTAGAGAAGGAGGAAGGGAGAGGGAGAGAGAAGCATCAATGTCACATCAATCAGCTGCCTCCTGCAACCCAGGTATGTGCTCTGACCTGGAATGTAACCCCATGAACTTTAGGTACATGGGAGGATGCTCAGCCATATGAGCCATACCAGCCAGGGCTCTGAACTTATCTTTATTAACAAAAATAAATGAATAAACCATTAAAAAATTTACTGGTTTTCTAGAGTTAGCTTTTATCCCTTTCTCTCTTTAACATTTCTCAGCAATTGTAAAGAGAAATATATATATATATATATATATATATCCTATATAATAAAAGAGAAACATGCAAACTAACCATCCCTCTGCTACTCTAAAGCCATGCCCACAAGTCACGCCCATCAGCAAATCAGGAGCAAGTATGCAAATTAACCAAACTAAGATGGCAGTGGCCACTGAGCTGGAGGGAGCAGGAGGCTTGGGTTGCCCCGGCGATGGAGGAAACCAAGCTTCCTGCCTGCCCTGGCAGCCCCTCGGCTACACTCAAGGCTACAAAGTTTCAATTATAGAAGATAAATAAATCCCAGAAAAAATAGAAAAAAAAAAAAGGAGAGGCTGGGAGCTTGGGTTGCGGGGGGCATGGCCAGCCTGTAAACGGCCATCAGCCCCTCACCCAGGCTGGCCAGGCACCCCAGTGGGACTACCTCACCCTAAAGGGGCTGGGGGCAGCCTGAAAATGGCCCTAAGCCCCTCACCCAGGCACACAAGTGTGACCCCCACCCTGATCTTGGACACCCTTCAGGCAAACCAGCTGGCCCCCACCCATGCACCAGGCCTCTATCCAATATAATAAAAGGGTAATATGCAAATTGACCCTAACAGGATAATGACTGGGAATGACTAGTCACTATGGCACACACTGACCACCAGGGGGCAGATGCTCAATGCAGGAGCTGCTCCTGGTGGTCAGTGTGCTCCCACAGGGGTAGCTCTGCTCAGCCACAAGCCAGGCTGATGGCTGCCAGCACAATGGTGGTGGCGGGAGCCTCTCCCGCCTCCTCAGCAGTGCTAAGGATGTCCAACTGCAGCTTAGGCCTGCTGCCTGCTGGCAAGTGGACATCCCCTGAGGGCTCCTGGGCTGCCAGAGGGATGTCTGACTGCCAGTTTAGGCCATATCCCCCGGGGAGCGGGCCTAAGCCATCAGGTGGTCATCCCCCGAGGGGTCCCAGACTGTGAGAGGACACAGGCTGGGCTGAGGGACCACCCCCCCCCCCTCAGAGTGCACAAGTTTTTATGCACTGGGCCTCTAGTATATATATATATATATATATATATATATATATATATATATATATTTATCTATCTCCTATCTAATAAAAGAGAAACATGGTAATTATCCGTAGCTCCAACACGCTTCCCATTGGCTAATCAGGGCGATATGCAAATTAACCGCCAA